TCCAAAATAAAAGTGATAAATGATAAACAACACATAAATAACACATATAAACAAAACAAAAAGGTTTCTAATTGTCCGCCTTTAAACCAAATTTGTAATGTTGCGATTGAACGAACCATTTCTCAAATATAAGGTTTATGATTGTTGCAACATTAGAAAACCTGCGGCTTACTCAAATGCGGGAAGCAATGTATATTTTCAAGCATTCATCAATACTTGTAATCACCATGACAGAAAGCTTTTGTTGTTCAGTTTCAGATTTCTATGGGTTTACATTTCCGTAATTCTTCCAAAAGATTTGAGTTGTCAAAGAATAAAATTAAATCAAGTGTGTTGACTACAATTAAATAATCTTAAGATGAGGTGACAATTGGATGATTTAGAAACTGTCCCTTCACCAATACTTTTAGATGTCTCTAATTCAAACTTTTCTTGTAGTTAGAAACAAATTTTGAATCTCAAAAAAATTCAGCAATTTCATTAAGTTTGTCTCCTTTCTCAGGGGGTTTTGACCCAGTCAAAGCCTACCCCTCCACTTTCTATATCGAAACAGCTAACGAGGAATATAATTCAAATCCTGAAAAGCTCATAGACAAATCAAAGATGCAACAATTGTCCTTGAAATCCCTATTGCTTTGGAGCAGAAAAAAATCTATGGCAATCTTTTTGTTTTGGCTCCACATAGTCCTCGTTCTTAGTCCAGATCGTGCCTGCGCTATCTTTATAGCAATCGCGCCCTCATAATGGTCAGTCATTCACTTTTATGGTATGGGAACGCGTCAGTCGACGATAAAAACAGAAATTGCACTGCATCTAAGTGCTAGTGGGCCGTTGCAAACAGATTGAAGGGGAAAATCGTATAAAATCTGTGCGCCACATGGCAACCATTGGATTTCTGGAATTTAAGGCACGTTTTGCTGAAAAATCTGGAGCGTTAGCCTTGGTCGTTGGACCAGCATCAAGAATTCAACGAAATCGCAAACCACTTAAGGTAAAAAATGCACATTTAGGCAAAGAGGATTCAAATTTAGGGTTATGTTTTAGGTTCGAGCTTCAAAGATCCCTGTAGTAGTTTTGGATGATCAAGAAACCCAGCGATTAAGAACTCAGCTTGCCGAAGCTGGCCGAAGTGCTGCTGTAGCTCACCTTCGGCTTGATTTTATCGACACAAAACCACCTCATGTTCTAAAACTTCAGGTAAGGATTGCTAATAGTCATTTTAATAAATTGCATCATTTATGAGAAAACTTGACTGTATTTCTCTCTAAAAATTAGTATATCAGTTACATAAATAGACATTTTTGAGAGGAAGGACGAGGAGAAGGGGCCCCAAAGGGGGCGTGGCATGGGCGGAGCCAAGAATTTGACTGAGAAATCACTTTGGAATTGGTTAAACTTCTTGATTGATGAGGAGAGAGTTTTTACTCAAAGATCTAATGCCTGCTTGCCATATTTAATGTTTTTTTTGGATACTAGATAAAGGATGTACATAATGTGCTTAACCGTCTAAAATTTAGGAAACAATTAACAAATCATCCTTTTCCAGGTTTTTCGCCCAAGTCTTCTCAATCTCTCATTGATCGGGTTGCTCGTCGTTCTCGTTCTGTTCATCACATTATTGGTCTTTGTAAAGATTCGATGGCGACCAACGGTTCATCGAGATCTATGGCTTAGAACTTTAGCAAGAGCTGCAGTAGGAAAGATGGAAATTAGAAAATTCCAGAAGGTATAAATTCGAATTTTCTACTGTCTTTTAATGGTTTCTAACTGTTAGCACGATTCCAGGAGCCTTCCCGCCAACGTCGGCGACCTTTTGCTCGATTACGACGAGTTCGCTCCACTTACCTGCCAGTTTTTGGATCACTTACCTCTGTAGCCAACACTGCCAGCTCTCAGGTAAGCTGAGGACTACCTCTTACTCCCAAGTTGGGTTTAAGAGTTTTTCTTTCCAGGAGCGTTGCTCAATTTGTCTCGACGAGTATGCCGAAGGCACAGAACTCCGTGTACTATTCTGTGGACATGAGTTCCATCCAAAATGCGTCGATCCTTGGCTTCTTTCCAATCGAAGATGTCCTTTATGTCAATTTGATGTTGTCTACAAGCAATATCCCAAGATGGAACCACCCTCTAAGAACCGACAGTAAGCGAAAAGCATTCTGAAACTAATTAAACACAAAATTTTTTGCTTATTTTAGAACACCACAAACTTGTGAAAATTCCTCGCCACTGGAGCCTCTACTTCTATC